GTTTGAGGAACGAGCGTAGAAATTCCATACTGGTGACATGTCACTACCCAAATTTGGATAGTGCTTCTGACTGGTAGTGCAGCAAGTCAAATTTGCTTCAACCAATCAGAAGAACTACCCAGATGTGGGTAGTGAATGTCATCATTACTGAATTTCTACGTTCGTTCCTCAGACGAAACCGGTGGTAGCTTATGTGGACGCAAATTATTGTAGCTGATCCAGGAGACAAAATACTTGGCTATTTATATTACTGTTTGACGTGTAGACTCCAGGCGGCCAAGAAACAAATCTACCTAGCTAGAGGCCGGGGAGGGACTCTACCCAGGACCTCCGAATTACGAGTCCTGCACGCTGAGCACACGGCGAGGCTTCTTTGCCATTTTGTTACTCCACAAACTACAGGAAGGCTTGGTACAAGCTTTTAGTACAAAGATTCCCTGGATTGATAATATAAAATAAGCCATGATTGTATGATGGCTGCCTTTTGAGTGCCATCGACACACCTGTTTACGGAAACTATCCCAGAAATAGTTGCGCCGAAAGCTTCTAAAGAACTGTAGTAAAGCTTCTAACAGTGACTCGATTGGTAGTAATGATCTTATAATATCTCCTTCAGTGGTGCTGGACAAGAAAGCAGAATTAAAACTCCGAACATACCAACGTGAACTTGCCTTCCCTGCGTCTGAAGGAAGGAATACAATCATTTGTGCTCCCACAAACAGTGGTAAGACCTACGTGGCCATCGCAATAGCCCAAGCACACTTGAAAGTGTTAAAAGAGGTTGATTTTGGCAGGTTTCCCCGTCCTGCAAAAGTGCTTTTTATCGTAAACAAGGTCAACTTGGTTCTTCAGCAGAGACAGCGCTTCGATTATTACCTTTCCAACAGGTATGCCATGGGTATTCTTGTCAGCTAGATAGTCTGTCATAAATCTATTTATTTAATTACTTATTTATTTACTACTCAATTCAATTACAGATATCAAAATAGTTGCATATATATAAAACCAAATATCTAAAATATCTTATATATAAAAGTGATATCTGTATAACAAGGACAGTTTATAAAGAACACAAGGACTCCTTATGAGAATAAACTGCTTAAAACGTAGAATAAACAATAAAATATAAAAACTGTTTATAAGAAAATTCAAATCGTAAATATGTTACCAGTAATAAATGTTCAGAGGAGTGTTGTAATCTAATTACTTTACCTGGTCAAGACTTTTTGTTAATTTATTCGCTTAATTTGATGTCTGGCATCTCTCTTGCTGATAGCTACGATATAACTGACATATCAGGGGCCAACGCCCAGGACAAAACGCTTGATGAGGTCAGCCAAGAACAAGATGTGATTGTCCTCACGGCGCAGATCTTGGTGGACGCCTTAAAGTCCAAGCGAGTGAGAATAACGGACTTTTCGTTGCTGATATTTGACGAGTGTCATCACACTGGAAAAGGTCATCCATACAACGAAATTATGCTTGCATACCTAGGAGCAAAGTGCCCAGTTTGGGGCGCTCGTACTCAAGCACATAACTTGCCACAGGTCATTGGATTGACTGCGTCTCTGGGAGTTGGCAAGGCTCGTAACAAGAATGACGCCCAAGATCATATCCTCCGGCTTTGTGCAAATCTGGATTGTTCGGTGATTGTTACTGTACAAGAATATATCAAGGATCTGGAAGGTTTGTTTATTAACAAAGCTAGCATAAATCATTCTCTTCGTACATACAACCACGGACACCAGAAACTAAACAAAAAAACGTAATCCCCGCCGCCCTCCGTAACAATGTTTTATCGTGTTATTAATTAAATCTCTAAAATCAATGAGGATTTGTTAAAATAATCCCTGTCGCAAAGTGGAACGGGAAAATGTATGCGATTAGCCTGTGAGGCTAGCGCAAAAAGAGGACTCGGGAGAGAAAACATGGAGGGGAAATCGGAGAAATCCGTTTTATTCTCCCCCCAGTCCCTCTCCTTTTTCCCTCGAAGCAAAGAGTATCATTTACTTTTTTATCGGTTCCTTTGAGATAAACGTAGTTATTTTCCCAGCCCCTCTCATTTCAATTGCCCGCCACGATAGCTAAATTTATCGTTATAACTTGCATAGCATGTCTTAAAGCCGTGTTGACTAAACCTGACTCGAAACCTCTAGCTATCTATCTAACGAAGAAATCCCTTTTGAACTGTCATAATTGCTTCTGGCAGGAATGACAGGACGCTGTGAGCGAACGTACCTGGAAGTACCCGATGGTGAAATGGATTACTTTGATGAGGTCATAGGTCAGGTCATGATCAGGCTTGAAGGGATGATGGTGAGGGAGCCTGGGCAACGAAGTTGCTCGCCTCAAGTACACCGCAGCAGCCAACGGTACCAGCAATGGCTGAAAGAGTTGGAACGAAGCAATTTAAGAAGCAGACAACATTTTACTTTGATACAACATCTGATGAGCTATCACACAGCTCTGGCTATCAAAAAAAGTTGTCGGGTCAAAGACGCCCTTAATTACTTGGCAGATTTTCACCAAAAACAGCGAGAAGACAAGTTCGAGAGCATTGACCACGATTTGAGGGAAATTTACATGAAGGTTTGTCAAAACTATATAAGTTTAGTAGTAAATCGATTGTGAGATTTACATTATGAATTAAAAGCCTTTCCTCCCTTTAAGGCTAAATATGCTGGCAAATGTGTAACACATGTTTCAAAACGCCCCTAATTTGTTGCAGAAATGTGAGTGTCAGAAAAAATTCTCTTTAAATTTCATTTCATAAAGAGCAAACTTAAACAAAAAAAGACAGCAAAAAAAAAAAACAAAAAAAACAAACAATAAAAACAAAACAAACAATAAAAACAAAACAAAACAAACAAGAAAAAATAACCACGTACAGAAAGACAGGTACCACCTCGGCGTGTCCGTTTTAGGGACATAACCTATCCGTCTTATAGAGAGTCAAAGAAAATGACAGTTTAGAACGGCAGGACCAACTCTAGGTGTCCGCGTTTTAAGGAGGTGTCCAAATTTTAGGGAACTCCGTTCGGAAAGAGATAACTACAACACATTAAACAGTATATTTAAATTTTAGGCCAGAGGGAAGTTGGATGAAAAGAGGCAAGAGAAAGGAGAAATAAAGAATCCCAAGTTAGAGGCTGTTGCTAGCTTATTAAGTAAAAAACACCAGGCATGCGTGGAGGACGGAGGCAAAAAGACAGCAAAGGGAATACTGTTCACTAAAACCCGTGAAAACACCAAAGCTCTTAAGGCCTGGCTTGATGAGAACCCCGACCTTTCCTTCATTACTGCAGAGCGCCTTGTGGGTACTGGCAAGGGAGAAGGTCAGTTTTAAGACGATTCCTTCCTTGTCTGGTTCTACATTATACACCAACCACCCGAGAAATGTTTTCAGTTTGTGTTGAAATCGGAGAAGGGCTTTAAATTGATAACCTTATTGAAATGCACCTTTCAAGGGATGAAAAAAACCCAGCACGAACAATTCCAAACTCCAGCTATTCCAACACCCGTGAACTATTCCACACGGGTCCGGTCATAGATCAGAGTGGGAAAATCTTATCTTTTTTCAGAACACAACAGCTAAATCCTGCACCGATGTTGAGAACCGCCAAAATAGCTACCATATGGCCAGATTGTTAAAAACAGGATACAACAACTGACCCAAGATTAGAACGAAGACTTTAAATCTAAGAGCTTTCTGCCTTTAATTTGATGCTTTGGCTCTTTAAAATGACTATAGTCAAATAATAAGAAAAAAGTATCTTTGAGCAAAAAACCGAGCGAAAAGTCCGGCGGGTGGGGGTACTCCCGTTTTTAAGTGACGGGGATGATCGAAGGAATTTTTTTTGGTTTGAGATTGTCGATTCCGGGAGTTTTTTTTGGTAGGATAATTGGGCAAGTATTCTAAGGGTGGCTTGATTCAAGTAGAGATGTTTTGGGGGGTATTCAAAATAATCTGAAGATTCGCGGTGGTGCCGCGTATCCCGGCCGCGTGCAGTCAGTCTGTGAATAAAGTACAGTGAAACCTCTATCAAGCGCACCCCCAATTAAGCACACACCCTCTATTAAGCGGACACTAAGAAGGGTCCCGAAATTGAGGTCTTAGATTTCCCTTTATAACGAACCCCTATTCAGCGGACACTTCTATTAAGCGGACGCGGACACTAAAATAACTTGTATTTGGCCAAGTTCTATTGTTAAAAAGACCTCTATTAAGCGGACACCGGACCTTGAAATATGTACTTTAGTCGATTAATAATGATAAATCAATACATCTAGCTGTCAATAAACTGTAGATTAGACCGATATACGGTTTGTAATGAAAGGTAATGAACTTGAACCTGTTCACGTGACTCTGGATAGCTAGCTTCCTTAACAACGTGGAACTTTATCACAGTACAGAGTAACCGTTGAATTTTAACAAACATTGCGCAAGTTTTACAAACCTCTATTAAGCAAACACTTGGGAAGATCCCGAAGGTTTCACTGTACATGCAAATAAAATACGACGTGTTATATTGCTTTCTGGAAATTTTTAAGTCTCCGAATTTCGGAACAGGATTTTTTTGGGGGTAAATTTTTGGTCCAGGGATTTTTCCTGGTTTTGATATTTGCTCACATGCGATCATCCCCGTCAGGGGAGGGAATTTGGGTGCGAGACCTCGCGCGAGGGATAAGGGAGGAGGCGACCTATAGGGTTATTTTCAAAGGGGTACTCCGGGTGCGTACTATAGTGTTGATCTCAAACGATCTTTCAGATGGTATGACCCAGCGCCTACAGGAGGAAGTTATAGCGAATTTTCGCAGTGGAACCATCAATCTGTTAGTGTCCACCACAGTCGGCGAAGAAGGTATCGACATACCCGATTGCAAATACGTCATAAAATACGATGTCGTCGGAAACGAGATTGCCAGTGTTCAGTCTCGAGGGCGTGTACGCGACAAGGAGGGTAAGTACGAAGTGGTGGCTGGGAAAGAAAGTGGTGTGATTGAGAAGGAAAATCTAAATGTGATCAGAGAGGTGATGATGCAGGAGGCAATTAAAGAGGTGAAGGCCATGGCTCAACAAGAATACGCAGCCAAGGTAAGAGTTCAAAAGAAAGAAACTCTATAAACGCCAAAAAAGATGAAATATTTCAATGGTTGAGGATTTTATAACTCCGCCGAGTAACTCCGATACTAGGCCTGTGTCACTGCGCGTTTTCAGAGACAAGTTTGTTCTCAGCGACATTTTAGAACCGTTTTCCCGCGAAAAAGGAAGCTCCGCTGCGTTTTGAGCGCATTCGAAATATAGCATATGAATGAAGAAAACTTAACTTCATTAAAAGGTCAAAGAAACATTTTTAGGTCGGTAGGTTTTGCTTACAGGTATGTAGGACTTTTTTGATATTCTAAATTCGCGCCAAAATCGGTCTAAAAATAAACTGGTCAGTATGAAAACGTCGTGACACGAGTTTATCAAAGTTGCTCGCTCCGAGTCATGGGCTCCTGAGTAGCCAAGTGAAAAGAAGACGAAAATTCTAAATTTTATCGAAATATCATTTAAAATGTTGGACAACAAATTGTGCCATATGAAATTAACTCTGAATGGGTTTCACTTGAATGGTAACATCATCGGAGTTCGTCCACAGATTCAAAAGTTAGAGCCGCCCCTTAAGACTACAAGACTATGCAATTCATTTAAGGGAGTGAATAGTCTGCTACACAGCCGTTTTTAGTGTCGTCACGCAACGCTCCTTGGGTAGACTAGGTGAAAGGATAACTGAAATTTACCTAATTGTTTACATAATTTCATCTATTCCCGTCGTGTTTCTAGATTTTAGATCTTCAGCTTCGAGCAGTCACCCAGTGGAGAAACAAAGAAAACTGCAGAAGAGCTGAGAAAGACAAGACACAACAAGACAAAGTTCAGCTGTTTTGTCGAAAGTGTCAGGTGCCTGCATGCAGTGGGGACAAGATTAGGTGTATCAAGGAGGCCCATCACGTGATTATTGATGAGAAATTCAGGTCCAAGTTTTCCTTTAGACGAAACAAAACTCCGAAAGTGATTAACGGGGTTGAACTAACAGGTTTGGAAAAATTTCAAATTCAGCCAGAAACTAACATGGAAGTATTAGAGATCGGCCAAAATGTGCTAATAGAGCCAACGAACAGCCACACTGACTCGCACTCTGAAATGAGATTGGGCCTACTTCGCAGTCACTAAAAAGGGCGAATCGTTCTAGAACGACAGTTAATGTAGAGAGAATTAACGACGCTAGTATTCTGCAGCATTCAAACATTTTATCGACAAAGAAAAAGTAGATGGAGAAAATTTCTTGCAGACTGACAGGAATAGAAAAATTGTTCTCAAATGTGTATTTTTCAAGCATTACTTGTAGTCTTGCCACTTACTCAAGCGATAAGCCCCTTTTCCCCATTCCTTCCAGTTCCCCCCTGATTCTCTTCGGCGGTCATCCAGACCCTCAGATAAGGGGGACCCGGTCTCCAAAAAAATGTTTTTCGGCTCTTCGGGTCTCAGTTAAGTTAGTCTAGAAATAAGGGGGGCAGGGCCCCCTGGCCCCTCCCCTAGATCCGCCACTGAGGAGTGGGCGATGAGCCAAAAGAAATTCAGCATTGGTGATGATACAGTCTGCGGCCAGGCAGGGGCTACGCTAGCTAGTCCTTTTATTGCTTCGTTTCAATGCGCCTTGGTGGTTACATAAGGTCCCCATAATGAACGTACGTTTCCTACTTAGATTGTCCACCAATCTGTTTTCTCAACGCAAACTGGAAATTAGGAGCGTGACAAACAACTACCCCACCCTCTCACTCTCTGCTTTGACACCAACGTGCAGTTTGCACGTTCATCAAATAAAAAGACTACGTCTTTCCAGGGCTTTTTGGCGAGTGAATCTCAGTGACGAATCCAAGATAAAGCAGAGGGGGACGCCTTTCAGGAACTAGACCAATTGCTCACAAACCCGCTCGGGCCACGTGTCCCGAAACGCATAGGCCGCGCGAAATAACGAGTCTTGATAGGAATGAGTAAAAATGCGAAAACAAAATAAAACAAAAGCAAAAGCAGAGTAATTTGAAGAGTTCACCAGCCCTCAAGTTGTCTTTTCTCGTTTAAAGGGAAAATTCGCAACGGCGACGACAACGGCGACAAGAAGTGCAAAAAAGCAGGGGGGTTAAAAAGAAAAACAACAACTCTACACGTGCATCATACTTTTGCGTACATTTCTTATCCGTCAATTTATGCGACTATGACATAAAATTTGCCTTGGCGACTTTTTGAGGACTTTTTGAGACTAATCTCCCCTTCCTGTGGCCATCGTCTTTGCTAAAGCTCGTTATTTTTTCAGCCTTCGTGCTGGCGGCTCCCTTTTACTGTTGCAACAAAGGAAATGGCAGACGTCTTGAGTTCATGCTTCATGCTTGCTTTGTTTCTCAGGTCCTATACACTGTCAACATTGTGATGCAGAATGGGGCGTGATGCTGAAGTACAAATCAAGAGAAATGCCTTGCATCAAAGCCTCGTTCTTTGTCTTTCAATTTGACAAATCTGGTGTCAAAACATCATTGTCTTTTAAGAAGTGGAAGGATGTGCCATTTCACGTAGAGGACTTCGATCTCAGCAACCACGAGGAGCAAGTCATGGATTGTTTCCTGGATTTACCCGAGCTGTGTTTAGATTAGCCCCGTCCCTGACTTGCATACAATAATGAACGGACTGAAAATGAATTTCAAATACAATGCTAGTGAAAACTGGAGTTGTATGTAATACGACTAATTATTGAATCAGTTTTGCTCTCTTTTGCTTTTTGACAGCAGGTTCTTATAATGATCCTTAGATGAGCATCTTATTAGTAGGTAGCCTACTGATCGAAAGTGGCCCTCCGAAGCAAGTTGAATTTTGAATTTGAGTATTATCCTCCCGTCAGACAGATTTATTTAGGGGTTCCGGCCCTATACGACCTTCCCCTGGATCCGCTTCTTGGTGTCCACCTTAGAAAGAGTTGAGTGTACTGTAGTTTCTTTTGCGAAATTAGAAAAGTAGATAGATCTTAAGCATGACTTAGTGCATGAGTCATTGAATTTTGTAAGAGTTCTGTAGTATTTCAAGCGGCCCCTCTCGCAGTTTAGCGATTGGCAAAGTTTCAAAATGTCTTTAATTAATCTTTCTGTTAAATTTACCTTTGAACTGAATATATTAAAAAAAATTAACCAAAAAGCCGAAACACTGGCAAGTAATACCACAACATACTATGTGTTAACCACGACGGCGGTATTTTTAGCGTCGCAATCAGGTAAAAATCATTATTTCTTTCTACTTACTGCCTCCTTTTTACTTGTTACTGAAAAGTAGTGAAAATAAAATAGACACATTCCAGTAAGAATGTCAGTTCAACTTATGCCAAGAGAGAATGAGCTAGTGCTTATGCACACCGTTAAAACAATTAATTTCTGTGTATTTAGAGCTTCGTCACGCGTTCCTTCACGGAACGAGTGAGGGGGAAAGAAGCCCCTGAGAACGTCTGCGTGAGGGAAGGTATTTATTTCCACGCCGGCGTTACGTATCAGGTTTCTGCCTATAGCGTGTTCGAGGCTCCGAGATAGTCAGGTCCGCTGAATTGAGAAAGCACAAACACGAAAATAAAACAGAAAGGAAAATTTTTGCGTGCCTTTTTCTTTCGCGTCTTCCCCACTAACTGAAGGCCTGGAACAGGCTAGTTTCTGCCCCGCACAGTTACTGGATTGAATGAAACGCGCAGTTCATGCGACAGTCTACTATAAAAGAACTTGACACCCCTAAATTAAAAGCTGTCTTAAAGAAATGTGTTCAGTTTAGTGATCTCTTAAATTCATTCAAAGACGCTTACTTTAATGTTGTGTTAGGCAATCTATTCCAAAAACTTGGAGCTGCAAGTCCATTCTTTTTTAACCTACCATTCGGCACAACTAAAAGTTCCTTCCTTCCTCTTTGGTGTTTTTCTCTTTGCGCCGTTACCACAATCCGAATACCTGGGACAGGCTAGGTTGTATACTATTTACATGGGCAAAAAACGGTCGGTCCACAGTTTGGGAAATCGTCAGCAAAATTCGAGATAAATTTCGTCCCGGAATAGCCGTTGCTACCTGACATTTTTCCGCTGGAACAGCCCAAAAAGTCGTATATCATTTAATTACTTTCAAACTGGATATTTTCCCCAACCTATTTATAGATGGTAAACAACCTTAGCCTGAATTTCATCCGATTAATTCGAATCGTTATTACTCCCTCAATAACAACGTTGCTGAGAAGAGGAAACGACTCGAAGCATATCGGATGAAATTCAGGCTAAACCAACCTTCGCCTCACCCGCGGGTTCCTTCTCGCATGGGACGTTTTGCGTACTCTTACATGAAGTAATCTCCCTTGTGCCACAGCGCTTATGCGCCTGGTAGAAAACCACTTTGCGAAGAACACAGTTAAAACTGAAATTCAAGCGTAAGCCTTACGGCTTGAGTATGCAGTCTTTTCATAGCGCTAAGGAGAGATTTGGAGTGGATGTATGCGTGACGAATGAGGATCTAACAAAGGCTCCAGAATGCCCACACGGTAGGCACTGATCGAACGTTACGGTACCCACTCGATTTTCCTAGGTTGTTTCGATTAGCCAGAGAAACATGTGGTTAAAAGCAGGCAACATGTTCGAGAGCTTTATGAGAGTAAGGTTTGTCACTATATCTGCCATATGAATTTACCAAAGCATTTTCGGGCGGAAAATCCGAGAGATTCAAACTACTGACTCATGACTCATATGGCTCATGACAGACTCATTACAGATTCCCCCCAACCCCTCCCCTCCAAGAGGTATACAGTCAACTCTCTCTTCACGGACACCGTTATAAGACGGACACCTCTCTAAGACGGACACCTGGTGTTGGTCCCTGTAGTTTTTCAGTCATTTTATTGTAACTCTTCTCTCTATAAGACAGACAACCCTCTCAGACGGACAACAGACACTAATTTTGAAATTGTCAACAGACCCTTGGGAAGAGCTATGTGCAGTGAAAAATCCCTCAAAACCGAAATGTAGGTGCTCTGCATGACAGTAAATTGCAAAATTTTGATTATTTTGTAGTCTTGCTCCAGTTTGCGGAGTATACACTGTTACACTGTTAGACCACGAAGCGGTGAATGTTAGCTTTGAGATGAATGAGCCTTTGATTGCACAATGAGAAAATGATTCCACTTTTTTTGCTACAGTTTAAACTGTTTTGTACAAGTTAAACAGCTGTCTTTTCATTGCGAATACATGTAGGTTCAGGGTTAATTTCTTAAAATTACTGGTGTCATGTTACCTTGACTCTCTTCAAGATGGACACCTCTCTAAGAAGGACAGTCAGGGCCATTCCCGAAGATGTCTGCCTTAGTGGGAGTTGACTGTATATTGAGAATTAAAGATATTGAGATTCTGAACTTAGAGCTGGGAAACGTAGTGAGTAGTCGGAAAAAGAGTTGCTTGATGCCCCAAACTTCCTTGTGGAAGGACTTCCAAGCTGTAAGCTTAAGGGTATAAGAAGTATTTTCTGTGGAAGTCACATATCATTTTAAACCTGGAGCAGCAAACATCACGATCAATGAGAGATTTTGACTTAATTTATCAGTGAGTCTATGCATTTTGGTGGCAGCGCCAAGTCATTTCAGGATTTGCAGTAGGACACTCCTGGCTCATGAAGACATTGCTGAAGAATGTTAAAATTATAAACAACTGCACTAAGTTGGCAATTCACGCTTTGCTAATCAAATCAGGGGCACCCAACGACAATTTTCGGAAAAATATCTGTTCGGAAGACGATTTGAGACCTAGAATTTTCGAAACATTTGTGGTAAAATTTCTTGCTTGCCTGCCTCTCCTAGGATTTTCGAACATCTAAAAAATGGTATAATTGCCTATTTTTAACGGATTTTTACCCTAAAAAGGTCTCCTAGAATTTTCGGGAGCCTTTTTTCTGGCCGAAATTTTCGAAAAGGTAAGTTTTGATCCCTATAATTTTCGGATCGCTAGACTTTCAGCTAGGAAATCCGAACAGATGAAAAATTTTTAGGGAATAAAAATATGCCTTTATCTACCGTTTAAATACTGAAATACGTTTAACTATGCTATGTTTAAGTGTTTTTGAACTATATTCTCGTTGGGTGCCCCTGTCAAATGTGACCACCAGGGAATGTTCTTTAGATCAAGTTTACTATCAAACTTGGAAACGAACCCGGCAGTTGCTCCAACAAATTTCTTCGAGTGTGATTTTTCAAGAAAGCATTAGAAGTCAGTTGTTAGAGCGTAGGATAGTTAATGAAACTAGGAGACTTAGGACAAAGTCAGGAGACTTGGCAAGTCTGTCATTGACTCATTTACACTTAATTCTCTTTCTCTACAGGAGTGTCATCTTGACTTAGTCACCCTATTGATCTCTGTCACCCCAATCACCCATCTCACTTTTCTTTTGTAGGGCCCATGCTTCTGTTTGAAAGATTCTTTAAAGATGGCCGATCACCTCGTAGGTTTTATGCATGCTCAGCATCTAGAGACAGAAAGGACTGTTCATTTTTTCAGTGGGAAGAAGAAAAAATTTCAGAAGCCAGGAAAAAAGCCCATAAAGAAATTATAAAAAAATCAAGATTACCATTTATTGAAGCTTGTCATAAGTATCAGAGCATATTTGAATCATTGGACAATTTGCAAAGGAAAAAATGTTTGTTTTGTCATTCTTGTGGCCTGCTGTTTATGCCAAAGGAGAAAGGAAATCACTGTACCCATGAATGTGAACAGGCAGGTGATCTCAGGAAACCAACAGTGATGATGAGGCCAAGAGAAAATGAGAAGACACAAGCTGTAAGTTCAAGGGACCTACAGTTTATTTATAGTACTATAACTGCACTGTAGTCACCAAATTACTAGTCAATGTCTTGTGTATCTGTTACAAGTCAAATTTGATTTCAGCTAAAAAATTTTTAACCTAGGTTGATTTTCAATTTCTTTTTTCTTCTAGGGCTAGGAGACAATTATGGAAATTGAGAATCAACCTAGGTTAAATCAAAACTAACTTGAAATCAAATTTGGCTTGTAACATATCCATGCATACTTTGGTTATTCTTTGCGTTACCTTGCCTCTTTGTGCCCCATTGTGCATGAGGCCTCCACACTTCTCCACCAACCTCCTATCTTGAAAAGTGTGTCTGATTTCAGTAATAATTTATTTTTTACAGGGATGGGACATTAACCCTTTGCCCAACCCCCAACCGGGAGGGCCAGGCATTGCAATTTATTCGTCTGGCCTTTTACTCAAAACCTTTTCAGCATGGTTGAACCCACCAGTGACCAAGGTCCCAACTGTTATAGCATCCACCTAATTATGGCGCAACACTATTAAAAGGAGGAGGATTCTTTTATATTACGTTGCTTTATTGTTTTAATTTTTTTTGGTCTTGAGAAACAACAGAGAAAAGTTCAAAGGAAACAGCTGATCCTGATATTATGTATAACCAGAATTTTTAAATTCTTCTTTAAAAGAAGGTGGCAACATGAGAAGATGTCTTTTTTCAAAAAATTTCCTTTTGTTAACTTACATGTAAGTGGGTTGAACCTTATTTACATTACAGTTCATTCTGAATGTAATTTTGCCAAAAAGTTATCAACTCCTTGGACACAAATAAAATCAAAATTCTCTTATAACCCTAATTAACATTCAACCTTTTCTATTAGTTTTTATCATCACTCCCACTAGAATTAACCATTTCCATTCTCAGTGTATAATTTTTTTGCATGTACATTGAATTTTATCAAATGTTGTAAAAATGCCTTTTTTTCCATGAAATGTTTTTGTTTCAGCAATACTTCTTTTCAAGGAAGGCCACTCAGTTCATAGCTTCCCTTTTTGAGGATTTAGGCTTCAAGAATGTTTTATGTGTTGGAACTCCAAGGTACTGTTTTAGTATAAAAATTATTTGATTGTTATAACCATTAATTGAGTGCCCTTCTGATTAAGAATGAATGCCACTTTATTAGCCAATCAGCACTTGCCTGTATGTTAAAAGTACGGTCAAACTAATACAATGTCATGTACATGCAATATCATGTCCTTAATTTTTTATCTTCAGACTACATGAAGAAATTCAATGCAGCTGTCAGACATCAGATGGGAATCTTGATAGTCTCCTTATGGATGTTGACTTCCGTTATGTATGTTATCATGACAAAGATAATATAGATGATTAAACCTTTTTGACTAGCGATTGTCTTTGATTGCATGTGAGGGTGTCCTTGATTATGCCAGTTATGGTTGCTACTTTTTTTCAACACAGGCCCAATTTTTTCCATCTTCCAAGTTTTGCTTGTACAACATGTTCAATCATTTCTTCTTTGAGAGTGTTACAAGTGAGAAGGTATTCCAAGACTTTCTGAGGAGAGAGGGGGTAGTTTTGGTGATGGACCCTCCATTTGGTGGTTTGGCTGAAGTTCTTGCTCACTCTGTAAAGATAATTTGGGATCAGTGGAGGAAA